GCTGCGGTATGGGCACAGAGGGTTGCTGCATACCGTTAGGCCACCGGTCTGGATGCATAAGGCCTTATGATGGAAAGAGAGCATCGGCAAGGCCTCGGGGTGCCTCGATGAGACTCTCAATCCGGATAGTTGTGCCACGTCTCGATGGGTACCGGTATGGCCTCGGAGTGCCTCGATTACCTTTGACAGAGCACTAGTACGGGTAAAACGTACAGTACCACGGTAGGCAGCGTGATCGCATCATGACTGAGCGGCTTCGGGCTGCGCCAAATCAGGCATCATGTTGCGTCACGGTGAATCCTCGTGCCGCAAAGAAATCGATATAGAGATCGATAGCGCCACGGGTGAGCCTTAGTGAATAGAATATGGTGCCTAGATAGAGTATCGGTAGGCATATCATTAGACACAGGACCGGACCGGCAAGCCAAGGCTTGACCGACGGTGCAGTGGCAGAGCACCTAGTTGGGTCAGAGAGAATCCAACCAAGGACTCGTAGGTGAAGGCAGGCAAGGAGCTTGGCAAGGTTGGGAACCTTGACAGGATACTTAGTCTATTCACGTTGGGCTATGGGACAGGATACATGCGCTGTGAGCTCCGTGTTAAACCGGATCAGTTGTACAATCCGATGTACGGATGGTACGAACCGTACTATCAACGGTACAACCGTACCAAGTACAAGGTACAACTATACCAAGCCCATGATCTGATCAAGAAGTGGTCCAAAGCATCTCACCAACCTTTGGGACCACAACAAGTGGATTACAAACTACCAAAACAGGGACCACATGTTTGGGACCACACGAACGGCTAAGATTGAAGCGTTTTGAATAGATGGCCAAGATGATTTAGCCGTTAGGTTTAGATAGGTTTACCATCTGTTTATGTTGTGTATATATATGTGTAAACTTACATTGTTGTAAATCAATTGATAGAGAATCAGTTCATACACTCTCTTAGTCTCTTATTCTCTCTATTCTCTCTAAATCTCTCTTAAACTCTCTTAAACATTCCGCATAATCTAACATGGTATCAGAGAATATGGTCTTGTAATCTGTTGGTTTAAAACTTGTTTTTCTCTTTTAAACACTTTCTCTTCTGGTTGCTTCCTGTTTTTCGTTGCAAACCAGAACACATTCATATCATTTCTGGGTGAAATTGAGTTGTTCTTGTGAAGAATGGAAGGGAACAAGATGGTTTCACTA